ATGACTGAACATCTTTTCTAAATAAACACCTAACAAAAATTCTTGAAAGTATATTAATACAGAATATCCCAGAATAATGTCTTGCTAAAAAGTTGTTTATGAGAAACATGTACTTAGAGAAACAAAAGAAGCAGATGAAATTCAAAAAGAAAAATCCATTTCAGTTCATTTAAATATACCAGCAAAAATAAAAACACCATCTATCACACCTCTCTATATCAAGGACTTTATTAGGTTACATTTCATTTTTGAGTTTATCCCATAAAGATTCTTGCAAAGTAGATGTTATTTATATTTTCTTTTTACAGGCTAGAAAATACTCCCCTTGAAATTATTTTATTTACTAAGATATGTGAGAATGTAGATTTAAGTTTTCTTCATACTTATGTCATAATATTTTCATGGGATTTCCAAAAATTACAGCTCTATTTATCTAGACCATTGATAAAAACAAGTGGTTTCTAAAATTATAGAAAAACAAATTTCTAGAAAGGATTATTTCACTTCAAACCACATATCTATGGTAAAACCAAACATTAAAGACATCAAAACTGAGATTTGAGACCACATACTCCAGTGCAGCCCTAGCTTCAACTTCCTATCATCCAATTGAAGAAGTCTGATCAGAGAAAGGAATAGTTACATAAACACTTTGACTAACTTTAACTTTTTAGCTTATTGTGTTTTATTGATCACTTGTTTTACGGATCAAAAAGTTTATACAGAATCACAGCAGCATTCTGTCAGTAATTTCTCAGCAATAATAAGCACAAGGATTTTCCAGGGAGCACATAGGATGGGACTCTGGGTCTCCAGCTGAGCAAGTTACCAAGTGTGGGGAGGATTGTGAAAGCCATGGTGGTGCAGGGTGGGTCATTCTCAGAAAGTACAACTTCTTGTGAACTGATGGCAACTAAATGGTCTGCAGTACAAATAGCATATTCATTCAGTATACCTGGGCTCAGGCCCTCCTGTCAGTATTTGAGAAAACTTCTTATGATGTTTAAGACTCACAGATTTGAAGTTGTGTAATATTTCTACACTCACCATAAAAATTGCCATCAACTTAATGACTTAAAACTATAAAATTTATCTCTCATTCCTAAAGACAAGAAATCTGACATCAAGATACTATCAGGGCAACATGCCCTCCAAAGCCAATAGGAATGAATCCTTCCTTGCTTCTTCTAGCTTAAGGGACTCCAGTGTTCCTTGACTTAGAGCTATATGATGCCAATATCTGGTTTGGTCTTTACCTGGCCTTTTCTCTTGTGTGTCTAGGTGTTCTCTGCTTATTGCAAAGATGAGTGCCATCAGATCTGGGGTCAATCTTAAATCCAGTATGACCTTAATTCAAGATGCTTATATTCTTGAAGACCTTTTTCCAAATGACACCAAAATTCAGAAGATTGAAGGGTTAGAACATCACTTTTGGGGATGCACTGCAGAAGCTTGGAGCTCAAATCCTCAAATTAAGGAGTTAGATGCATATCTGACATTCACCCTCCAACTAAATGATCAGGAGCACTTGTCATCTAAAAAAATCTAGAGGAGGTGGGGAACCTGGTTTAGATACTGAGCATGGCTAAGACACCCACATCCCATATTGGAGTGCCAGAGGCCAAGCCTTGGTTCTGCTCCTGATTACTACTTCCTTCTAATGTGCATCTTGGGAAGCAGCAGGTGATGGTCCAGTTAACTGAGTCAATGCTACCCATGTGGGAGACCTTGATTGAGTCCCCAGCTCCCACTTTTGGGCTGGCCCAGGACTGGCCATTCTGGGAATTTGGGTCGTGAATCAGAAGAGGGAACTTCCTCTCCATCTGTCTATACATCTCTCTCTCTTTCTTGCTCTCAAATGAACACATACATAATGTAGGGGAAAATATAAGCAATTAGTTAGTTGAAAAAACACAATAAGGACAAAAAGTTGCATAGCAAAGGAAAATATATTCTATTGTTACTAATTATGTTCTCTATAGCTTACATTATTAGAGATGACTGCGTCTTATATAGATAAGAATAGGCTATCATCCAGTCAGTGAATATCTGAGATGTTTTATCATTGGCCTTTTGCTCTAATTTGAGCTAACTTTCTAAGATAGAATCTCTTAGCTAAAACAAAAATTAATGATCCCTAGGCTAATTCTCCTGAGTCTACTTGGCATTAAAAATAATGCTCAGATGGGGCCGGTGCTTTGACCTAGTGGGTAAAGCCGCCACCTGCAGTGTTGGCATTCCATATAGGTGCCGGATCGAGTCCCGGCTGTTCCACTTCTGATCCAACTCTCTGCTATGGCCTAAGAAAGCAGTAGAAAATGACCCAAGTTTCTGCGTTCCCGCACCCATGTGGGAAGACCCAGAAGAAGCTCCTGGCTCCTGGCTCCTGGCTTTGGATTGGTGCAGCTCTGGCCATTGTGGCCCATTGAGGAGTGATCCAGTGGATGGAAGACCTCTCTCTCTCTCTCTCTCTCTCTCTCTCTCTCTCTGCCTCTCCTTCTCTCTATGTGTAACTCTGACTTTCAAATAAATAAATAAATCTTTAAAAAATAATGCTCAGAAAGGCAGCATTTCTACCCATAAATATACATAAAATTGGGTGCAAAAAACCCAAAAACCAAAACTCACATTTTACTTCTGCACAGGATTACTTGTAGAAGAATTATTGACTTAAAAATAAAATTTTCCATTTTAGATTGTTTATTACAAACTGATTTTATGAGATTGTGAATTTTACATTACTGGATCACAGAGTACGCAGAAATTTTGTTAAACAGAATTTTGACCTTTCTTGATGATTCTGATTGTGTCTGTGAAGGTGTTTTTGGATAATATTAACATTTGATTCAGTAAACTTAGTACAGCAAAGATTGTCCTCTCCAGTGTGAGCTAATTCCTACCTTCTCTCATATTCCTTCTCTCTCTCTCTCAAAACTAGCACTTCCCCTGTGTAGAAAAATGGTAAACCAAAAGTAATAACAATTCTTGGAATTCACAGAGATTAGTGGCCCTATTAAAGACTTATATGTGATAATTCCCACCACATGCTCTTTTAATTTTTGTATTTTGTCTGATTTTAAGAAACATGGGTCTTGGAGAATGACAATGGGTTATGGTAAATTTAATGAAGTGATGACTACATCCATAGTTGCCATACCAGATGTGATTTAATGGATTGAGTGAATTAACACTCTCTCTGTTGTTTGATATGTAACTATTGAGATGGCAAGTGCTTTTTTATCCATCCCTTTTAATAAGGACATTGGTAACTTGCTTTCACTGGTAAGGACAGCAATAAACCTTCATTGTTCTACCTCTCTTACCTTTCCACTTTCTACCATAGGATGACTCAAGAAGACCCTAACCTGATATCAACCCTTTTACCTAAGAATTCAGTTCCAAGCTTCTGGAACTGTAAGAAATATATTTCTGTTTTAGTAAATGACCCAGTCTCAGGTATTCTGCTATAGCAGCAAAAATGAACTAAGACAGAAAATCAGAGTGGGGTGCTGCTATAAAAAATACCTGAAAATGTTGAATCAGCTTTAGAACTGGGTAATGGGTAGAGTCTGAAAGAATTTGAATAGCAGGCTTGGGAAAGTCTGTATTGTTGTAAGTAGAGACTTGAGGGTGATTCTGAAGAAAGCTCAGAAAAAGAAACATTTAGGGAAAATCTGAAAATTCTTAGATATTTCTTAGGTGGTTGTGACCAGAATGATGATAGAAATATTGGCATTGAAGGGACAAATATCATATATTCTCCCTGATCGGTGACAACTAACCGAGCACCAAAAAGGAAACCTGTAAAGTGAAATGGACACTATGAGAAACAGTGACTTGATCAGCCCTTGTCCTGACTGTTGATGAACAACTTAATACTTTATCCCTTTTAGTATTTTTTTTGTTTGTTCTACTTAATACTATTGGTTGAACTCTGTAATTAAACACAATTATTCTTAAGTGTTGAAAATTAACTGAAAAGTGATCCCTGTTCAATATAAGAGTGGGAATAAGAGAGAGAAGAGATGTACAGTTTGGGACATGCTCAATTGGACTTGCCCCAGATGATAGAGTTAGAAACATGCCAGGGGATCCCAATACAATCCCATCAAGGTGGCATGTACCAATGCCATCTCACTAGTCCAAGTGATCAATTTCTGTTCATAATTGATCATAATGATAGGACTAAGAGTCAAAGGGATCACATAAACAAAGCTAGTGTCTGCAAATACTAACTGATAGAATCAAAAAGGGAGAGAACAATTCAACATGGGAAGCAGGATACACAGTGGACTCAAAGAATGGCAGATGTCCTAAATAGCACTCTGGCCTCAGAATCAGCCCTTAAGGCATTCAGATCTGGCTGAAGAGCCCATGAGAGTATTTCAGGCATGGAAAGCCAAGACACTCTGGAAAAAAAATGACCTAAATGAAAGATCTCTGAGAGTGAGATCCCAGTAGAAAGAACAGGTCATCAAAGGAGGTACTTTTTCTGAAGGGAGGAGAGAAATTCCACTTTGACTATGACCTTGTCTAAATAAGATCGAAGTTGGCGAACTCAAAAGGCTTTCCTAGCCTTGGCAACTCATGACTAGAGCCTAGGGTGATTACTGATGCCATAAACAAGAGTGTCAATTTGTTAAGTCAACAAAAGGAGTCACTGTGCACTTACTCTTCAAGTAGGATCTCAGTCCTTAATGTGCTGTACATTGTGATTTAATGCTATAACTAGTACTTAAACAGTATTTTTCACTTTGTGTTTCTGTGTGGGTGCAAACTATTGAAAGCTTTACTTAATATATGCTAAATTGATTTCTGTATATAAAGATAATTGAAAATGAATCTTGATGTGAATGGAACGTGAGAGGGAGCGGGAGAGGGGAGGGTTGTGGGTGGGAGGGAAGTTATGAGGGGGGAGAAGCCACTGTAATCCATAAGCTGTACTTTGGAAATTTATATTAATTAAAAAAAGTTTTAAAAACAGAAATATTGGCATTAACGGCATCATGGATGAGGGCTTAAACATAAATAAGGAACAAGATTTTGGAAATTGTAGTAGACTGGACTGAATTGTGTCCATGGCCTAGGATGTTAAAGTGCAGAATTTCTGAGTGATGAACTAGGGTCTCTGGCTAAAAGAAATCTCTAAGCAGGAAAGAAATCAAAGTGATATGTGGTTTCTTTTAATGGCAGATGGTAAAATATAAGAGGAGATAAATGATCTGAAATTGGGATATAAAAAGGCAAATCAAACATAAAAAGATTTACAAAATTTTCAGTCTGCTCATTTAAAGAATATATAGAGTATGCTTAGATCAGAAAACCAAGGTGCTGGCCAACCAACCATTTAATAAGGAGATCAGTATGCAAAGAAGGAAGCCAGATGCTGTTCATCCAGACAATGAGAAAACAACTCTGAAAACATTTAGGTGAGTACGGGCTTGAGGTCAAAGGTTCCATAGAGGCACCCATGGGACTTCAGGCTTTGCTGTTTCACACTACCTCAAGGGTCTGCTCTCGGCAATCTGGTACAGTATGTCTCTATCACCTCAGTTGGGGCTCAAGTGGTCCTGCCTATGGCTTCAGCTACTACTTCAGAAGGTACAGCCTGTCAACCTTGGCTGTGTAAAAGTGATGCTCTTTTTACAGGTGCACAGAGTGCAGGGACCGTAAAGACATTATTTCCTCCACTTAAATTTCAAAGGATGTAACAGACAGCCTGTGTGCCAAGCAGAAACCTGCTGCAGGGACACAGCCACTTCAGAAAGTTTCATTTAGGACGAGACCTAGTGGAGCTGCAATTGTGGAAATCCCCAAGACCTCATGACTGTCGAGATACCAGAGTGCAACTCTAGGCTGGGAAACCTGCAGGTATGACATTACAACCCAGAAGAACTCCCATACATGCTGCACATGGAAAAACATGGGCCTTAGGAACCCAACCCCAATCCCATTCGTTCTAGGAGGTGGGACATTTTTAAAAGTTTATTTATGTATTTATTTGAAAGGCGGATTGACATAGGGATGATGAGACAAAAAGAGAGGGATCTTCTATCCACTGGTTCAGTTCCTAAATGTCCACAACCACCAAATCTGGCTAGGCAGAAGCTAGGAGCCAGAAATTCCATTCTCATCTCCTACATCTGCTACTGCTTTTGCATGCATATTAGCAAGAAGCTGGATTAGCAGCAAAGTAGCAGGTTCTCAAACCAGCCCTCCAATATGGATCACAAGTGGTGGCTTAACTGGCTGTGTAAAAATGACAGCCCCAAGGAAGCTTATTTCCATGTTCTGTGGTCAAGGTCAGTGGGAAGTTATAAGACAGCACTATCAATGATCAATTACTTTACTAATGATTCCCTTCCAGGTAAAGAAACACAACCTGCTGGCATGCTTACTGAATTCAAAATTGCTACAGGAAGAATATGATTTTAAATGTCAGCTAGACCCAAATAAACAGTTACAGAAACAAAGACTATAATTGTGAATATTCATATATGTATGTGTGTGTGTGTGTATGCCATAGAATGTATTCATGTTACACCATAGCCATTTAACTGTGATTAACTTTAATCACAAAATTAAATTGCTTTAAATTTTGTGCTTTAAAAAGCACAATTTTTTCAGTACAAAATACTAAAGAGAAAGATCACTCAGGGATTTCACTTCTTCTTCTGGAAGGGACTGGTGCTTTTTGTCTGTGTACAGGACAGTTGAGTCATGTTTAGGGAAATTATGACTCCACAATTGTCTTATAAGAGATGTATATGGGTTCAAAGTCGACAAGGGATAGACTTGTGATGATTATTTTATTTGTCACCTTCACTGGATCATGGGATGCCCAGGTATTTAAACATTATTCTGGGTGTGTCTATGAGGGCATTTCTGGAGAAATTAGTATTTCAATCAACAAATTGAGAAGAGCCAGCCATCCTTTGTGTGTGTTGGCTTCATCCAATTTGTTGAAAGCCTAAATAAAATAAAAATCTGGGTAAGGGAGAATTCATTCTCTCTGCATAACAGTCTTGGGACAATACATTGGTCTCCTCCTGCTTTCAAACATGGATTGCAGCTCACAACACTGGCTCCCCTGGTCCTCGGGCCTTTGGACCACAGATCCTGGGGACTTTTCAGCCTTCACACTTACATGAGTCAACTCCTTACAGAAAGTCTCTCTCTCTCTCTCTCTCTCTCACACACACACACACACACACACACACACTCAGTTCCTATGTATGAACCCTGTGAAATTCACTAGTTTGGATGTTTTTATTCACAAATGACTTCTATATAATTACTTTTTGCATTTGTCTCATCCCTCTTCTAGAGTACATGTTTCTCAAGAACTGAAAATATGTTCTTCCACAAGTTATGCTCCTAAGAGCAGTCTACTGTACTGACCATGCATAGCACAGGGCCAGGTATATTATGCATTCCAAATAATCAACTCTTGAAGGAGTTAATATTTCTCCATCATTCAGTTAAATATGTAGAGGACCTCACTGTTCAAAAACTCTATTTTTTAACATCCGCACAGAGTGCTATACATAGTTAACATTCAAACATCTCTATAGAATACGTAACAACTGTTAGAATGTTGTGAACCAGTAATTTGATTTCTTCCAAATAGAGGTATGATTAACTTCATCTCAGATGATCTTGATAGTTCTAAAGGCACTTACATGCAAGTTGGTAAACTTTATTTCCAGTGTTAAGGATAATATACCAGACTTGGGTACTAAAAATGAATTATGACACTAGTTTGTTGGTTGGAAGTAATTTAGGGGCTATGCCAAAACTCTCTAAAATAGTCCATCTAGCCTGCTATGGGGAAGGGTCTATTGTGATCTATGGGACTTTTGAGTTAATGGAACCACTACAGCAGGCATAAATACCAAGTGTGTGCCATTTAGCTAGCTGATACTGATTCGTGGACCCAGTACTGGATTTGACTCAGTAAAGCATTTATAATAGGACAGCTCCAGGCAGAGCAATAATGCTGGAGAGGAAAGTCACACTGCTCTTCAGGCCAGGATACCAAGGTATAAAATTTACATTCACCTTAATGGGAATGCTAATGAAATGCAGTTTAATATAAAAAAAGAAAAGAGATAGTTGGCAAAACAGTGTTAAAAGTTTGGAGATGCTATAACAAAGCATCACAAGCTGAATAGATCAGAGGACAGAAATGTATTCACTCACATTCTGGATACTAAAAGTCCAAGGTCAAGGAGTTGGCAGGACTTTGTACCCTCTGAAGTTGTTACAGAAGAATCTGCATAGAGCTCTTATGTCCAAATTTCCACTTATATTATAAATTTGTCTTTATGAAGGACAACTATAGCAAAACTATTACCAAATAAGGAGGCATTATGAAGTAGCAAACTCTGGATTTTAACATCAAGGTGGTGGAGGTTAGGACTTCAACATTTTTAGGGAGGAATGCAATTCAACCCGTAACACAGAGTAAGAGAAGAAATAAAAGAAAGGTGCCAACCAACAAGGCACAATTTTTGCACATGCTCTCATTTCAGGCACTGACAGCATAGTGTGCAGGTAAGCTGAACCGGCTGGAAAGCTGAACGTAGTTTTTAATCCACTTTTTTGATGGCTCAGTCTTTCCTTTCACACCAGTGGCAGCCTGTTGAATGGTAATGGAGACTTAGGGCAATCAAACCAATGTGAAAATGCAGGCACAGATTCAAGTTCTGGGCTTATCACCTGGATAATTTGACTGATGTAAAGAGCAGGTTATGATGGATGCCAAAGAGCAGTTGGCAAATGAGCCTGCTGGGATATTGGCCTGACAGTTTTTGGAGGAAAGACATCATTCTACCTCTCTCTTGCTCTGATTTTCAGACACTCCAACACTGCATTTTCATCTCTTTGAAGTAAAGCACTTAGCAAGAGATTGCATGTTGTTTAAAACTGAAAGAGACGTGGGCTGCTTTCCCACCCTACCTTGAATCAACGTGGCTATTTTCCAATATTAATAAAAAGTTCTGTTTCTGCAAAAATAACCTCAAATTCCATTCTCTCTCTTGAGTTCCAGGAGTTTGATGACAAACTTGGCACACTAAGTTTTAGAGATCCAAATCAATGTTGAACACAAAAGAAAGCCCAATGCCCTATGGTAACACAAGAATATGATTATTTTTGGACTGAAACCACTTAACACAAGCACAGCTGTGAAGGTCTTGTCCCATTTCCAGAGATTGTCTACATATTCCAAAGAGTATCCAAAAGTCAGAAACCAGGCTCAGACAGCATTATTAATATGAAATAACGTTATATCACACTTGGTTTTCAAAGATAGTAAATCTCCTAACACCAGTAAGATTAAACAAATATCTGAAGTCTGAAATTAATATCTATGAGAGAGCCAGGAAAGAAGAAAAAAATTTCAAAATCTGGTTCAGAAAAAAAAAGTCTTTTTCATTTGTTTTCCTTCTCTATTAATTGCTGAAATGATGTTTAAATTGAAGTTGTTAAGGATATATACACTGCCCTATGAAATAGAATGTACAGTGGAGTGACAAGCTGGCATAATGGGTCTTTGGGCACACCCAACATGATCGTGTCACTTCTCTCATAAACATTTTACTGATGTCCCACTGAATTCACAGTGTATTCCAGGGAGCCTTTCAGAATCTGTCCTTTGGATCCACTAATCATCCTCCTCTCAAAACTCCAATTATCTCCACTTCCTCAACATGCATCTAACAGCATTTTCCCCTGACACAATTCTTTTGTATTTTCATTCCAAGGCTTGATATTTCATGGAATAAGAAGCCACAATGGGTTAGGTGCTCCTTTTATGTGCTAGTCTCTGTTCATCCATATTGCGGCTATTGTTTTATGTCTTATACTTGAAGTTCACCAAAAATATCTTCTTTACCATTTCTATTGTCCTTGACAGCAGGAACTGAAACAACGGTATGTTATTTGGTCATTACATGTTCAACAAATGATTTTTGAATGAATGCATGAAAATTATTGTAAGACATTGGTGGGCCTCATCTCACAACTGATGTAATAATTTAACACGGTTGCTAAAATAATTAAACCATCCATAAAAAACCATGTTAAATATGATTCTATTCAGTATGTGTTCTATTCTCATTGGATCAGTGATTTTTCTAGGAGATTTGATTTTGATTTTTGACACGGTATTGTTTAAAGACTTTAATGTTTCCAAAAAGTGATAAGGTCATTTAAGAAATTCTGGGAAAATCTAATCAAATCATTATTTGAAATACCTAATTCCCTTGTATCAACAAATAACATTTGTTGATTCTTTGTGTCAGTTTTCTAATCTTTAAAAATTTTAAAGAAAATCAGCATCCAAAGGAGATGGTGACAAATTAGACTGTATCAGTGTAGTGTTTGCACTACACTGTGTTTGCTCAGTGTTGTTGTAAAGACTCAAGAAACAATTACCAATATAAAAGAGAGAAAGATGGCTAATGCTGAAGAAGCACAATGACTGTCTCTATTTGGAGCTCACCATTCTGAAGATAAATTAAGTTCAAGTCTACATGTCTTTTATGGATAGAACTAGTAGCAAAGAGTAAAAGTGGTTGCTGTAGTTCTGCCTAATATAAGAAATACAATTTTACAGCCAGGGATTTGTAAAAATCCAAGTAGCTTCCTCTTCAGGAAGTGTATGTCTTTTACCTAGAGGTAATTCAACTGAAGCTAGCTGTCTATTTGTTGACAATGTTAGTGAAGTGATTCATCTATCAAATTAATCCTGGAGATGACCTCTCAGCTTCTCCCAAATACAAAGTTTAATAATTCTGTAACCATAGACATTATAAATTCATTATTCAGAATGAATGACCCTCTTTTATAATTGGTAAGATATAATATATTAAGTGAAGATAATTCATTGTACAGAGACTCTCTATTATACATATATGCGTATATTATATTTTCCATATTCAAAAAGAATTAGAAATATATATGTGCATTTGTGTGTGTGTATATTCAGCAACAAAACTACATTAGAATATTCATTGAATGATATAATTTCCCTAATCTGGAAATTATCCCAGAATGTTTTCAAAGTAGAATAAAAGTAAGTATATGTTTACTAATGAAAAACTTCACAACCACAAGAAAGAATAAATTACCTCTCTATAAATCAAGCTTCAGGTTGGTCAAAAGGCACAAAAGAATAAATAAAATCATACAAAAAGTGTATAATGTCAGAAGTGAGGGTAGGGTTGACTTTGTGAGTGATTTTTAACCTAAAAATAGAACAGAGAGTCTTCCATAATTGTTTATGATTTTCTATTTCATGATGTAAGGGTTGAATTTATGAGAGTATATTGAGTTGGACACATTATATGTGCATTTTTCTCTACATAGGTCTTATTTTGGTCCAGAGTTTTTAAAATGATCATTATATCCTTTAGTTTCTTATATTCAACACTGTAGGAAAAAACAAGTGGCAAAGTTATAAGATTTTTATTTTAAATAATTCAAAATTTGGAGACCTTCATTTATTACAATCATCTAAATAATGTGAAATGTTTAAATTATCTAAAACATGAACAAATATAGGTGCTTTGGAGAGAAATGTTGGCAATGATCTCTTGTCACCTTCATATATTTCATCTAATTTATCCTGAAATTCACAAGAAGAAACAACTAATTATAGATTTCTTTTAAGTGTGTTTGTATGCTACTTTATAAGCATGTTATTTTATCTGTATCAGAAACTCAGGCATTATTTAAACTTGTTAGAATTTTAAGTGTTTTCTCTCATGAATAAAAATATGTAGTCATATCATTGTGTTTTCAAAAAATCTTGTACTTACTCAGTAAAACAGGTGTACTGATTTAAGGCACAGCCAGTCACACAGATAATCTCCATTCAAACAGCCCACTGCCAGCTTCTTTGTGTTTCAAAGCCAACAAAATGGTCTGGATATTATTCCTGGAAAAAAAAAAAAAACATAATACTGTATTGTGTAATTGATATTTTTTTAAAATTTTAACCACATAAAAAGAACAGATTTTATACATTCCATAGGTATAGTTCCAAGAAGACAGCCACACTTCCCTCACATCTCTCAAATACTGGCACCCTCATTCCATGGCAAAAGTGAGGCAAAAGAGATAGCAGATATTTTGGATCTGCAGGCCATACAGTCCATGTCACAGCTATTCAGTCTTACTCTTGCAGTGTGGAAGTGGCCATAAACATGTAAATAAATGAGTCTGACTGTTTTCCAATAAAATTTTGTTTAAATAGTCTTTGATTGGGCTAGATTTGTACTATAGACCATAATTTTTCAAACTCCAGTTGAGGAAGAACAAAAAAAGCACTTTGATTTGTTTTGTTTTCTTGTGTGGCCATCCAACCAGTAGAATAGCTATTGTCATTACCCAGAGATTCCTAATCTGAGATAATCAAATCTGTGTATGCCTTAAGCTCTCCTAAGTATTAAAACTTGATGAAAACAAAAGACTTATCTATTGTGCACAGACTGACAGATGGGTCAGCTTCCCATGCTTTTCACTGGAAGCCCCCCTAAGCTGTTCCGTTTTGGATATTTGTCCAGGCTTTTCTCTCCCTGGTTAATTACTAGCCCCCCTCCAATTTAGCTTAAAATTGACAGCATTCCAGAAGTCCCTTCTGATGTCCCTGCATCACGTCCCCTCACATGACACTCATGTTTTGTCCTTGACGCCATTTATTATAGTTGAGAGCGCTTGTTCATCTCTCAGAATCTAAAACCAGACTGCCTGGCTTAAATCTCAGCTCTGAATTTACCATCTCTGCAATCTTTGACAAGTTGTCAATCTCTCTCCTAATCACCAGGCTATGTCCTGGTCTTTAAAAAAAGAAATAATATGTAATATCGTTAGCAGTTAGTAATGGCACAGGATAGTTGTACGGATTAAATAATTATATGTATATAAAACACTTATATCAATGTCTGCATACAATTAACATTATGTGTTTTTGTAATAGTTAAGTAATTGAATGTCCATACACTCATTAAAAAAGAAAAATAAACAAAAAATTAAGTGGCTAGAACTGTGGTGCACTGCTTGCAATTCTTACATTGCATATCAGAGCACCATGTTAAGTCTTGCCTATTCTGCTTCCAATCCAGCTTCCTGCTAATGTGTCAGAGAAGGCATCAGAGAATGGTACTTGGGCCCCTGTGGAAGACCATGAAGGAATTCTTGGCTCTTTTCTTCAGCCTGACCCAGACCTGGCTATTGCGGTCATTTGGGGAGTAAATCAGCAGTTGGAAGTAAATCAGTAGATGGAAGTAAACCAGAAGATGGAAGACACCTCCCTCCCTCCCTCCTTCCCTCCCTCCCTCCCTCTCTCTCCATATATAGATGTAGATATAGATATAGATATAGATATAGATATAGATATAGATAGATATGTCTGCTACTCTGCCTTTTAAATAAATATTATGAAAAATTACATATCCTTCACTATAATACAAATTTCATAAACAGAAAATTCATAAACTATGTTCCCATGGTTTTTTTTTATTTCTGATTAATACTGTTATAGATTTAATGACTTATAATAACTCCCATATATTGACTTCTAGTTCTATAGGTCACAAGGAACTGATATCTAGGCTTAGGATATCACCAGACACACAACAACATGTTGGTTGGACTAGCCTTTTGTCTGGGGTCTATGAGAAATAATCCACTTCCAACCTTATTTGTCCTCAATCCTGTCATTAGCAGTATACAGTCCCTCAAGTTTTGGCTTTGCCTTAGTACATACAAGCTGATGGTAATAACAGAATCTATCTTTAATGATTGAAGATATTCATTGTGTTAAAGGCATCACTCTTCTGAGCACTGATTCTTATTATTCAAGACTATAGAGGTGTAAGATTGGGATGCTGAGCACAAAACATGACCTCAATGAAGATTTTCCATCCTAAATCATCAGTATTGGTTTGTTGTCTTGTCACTGACTTCATCCTCAAGTGCTCAAATACACCTGTTTTTGATTACTTGTGCCTGTTTGAAATTACAATGAAATAGCACATCCCTTAAATTATTATATCTTAGAGGCATCAAATGCAAATAAATACTAAACTGACAAAACATAAAGAAGATTAACAAAGTGATGTTGCATAGGGTAATTATAACTCCCTAACCACTTAAACTCAAACTGGATCTTCATTTTAATGTGTCTGTGAAATATGAGTGAGCATGAGATAGCTCTCATTCATGAAAAACTGGCATCCCAGCAAGTTCTTCACATCACTGTCCTCTTCTCCTTCGGTGAATGTACACAGAGAGATTGCTTTGTAAACCAGGATCTCAGAGTATAGAAAATATGCAACAATCCATTTGAGATCCACTTGTAACAAGAATGAGAAATAATCATCAAATTCTGTATTTTTTTTTCAATGGCATAACTCAGTATATACTGGCTGGCACATGTAATTATAGTAATTCTATTGAACAGATCCTCTCTCTCTCTCTCTCTCTCTCTGGCACTTTTTTAAGATTTATTTGTTTGAAAGTCAGAGTTATGGGGGAAGGGGAAGGAAGAGAGAATCTTACATCTGCTGGTTCACTCCCCAGATGACTGCAATGACCAGGAGTTTCATCTGGAGCTCCCACGTGGGTGTCAACAGCCCAAGTACTTGGGACATCTTCTGTTGCTTTCTCAGACCATTAGCAGAAAGCTGGATAGGAGGAGCAGCAAGTACAGGAACTGGTGCCCATATGGGAAGCTGGGACCCCATGCAGCAGCTTTACCCTCTACACTACAATGCCAGCCATACTCGTAGACACTTCAGATAAAGAAATAAAAGTAATGTCTATCCCTAAGGAGATTATAGTGTAGTGGGATGAATTGAATTTTATGAACCCAGTTAACCAGGTGGGCATGCTTTCTTCTATCTAACTATACCCGGGTCATAGCTGCAAATAGGAGCAGATTCCATGTCCAGTTGTAGTTGAGAAGCCATAAAGAATTGTCAGGAATTTCCCTTCTCTCTCAATGTCATAGGGAAAAAATAGAACCCATTCTGCAACCAATATGCTACCAGCTCTCAAAAGAAGACATGATTCTCAGTAATTTGTGCTGCCAGCTTCCCCACGTAGTACTGCTCTCCACAAAAATCAAACCCTATTGTGTATCACAGGACATGGGAGGCCTGGAAAAGGAACACCACAGAAATGCACAAAGACCACTTTATTATTTGGCTGTGGCATGCTTTTGGTTTTCCAAGAAGTTTGATGTATGGAAGTGAAGCAATTGAAGCCAGTATGAGTTGGTTCTGATGGCCATCCTCTTCTCCCCCCTAGCAAGAGTAGGGAACATTTTATAGGCCTCATAAACCCTTTTATGAGGGTTTGATGGGAAGTTGGCAGCCTCAGCTGCCTACAGTGACCTGATGGAAAACAGCTCTTCTCTGCACCTTCCTGGAGAGTTTATGGCCGCAATTGTTTATTCAGAGCCAAGACAGAGCAGGGCCACTGGACTTAAAGAGATGACACTCAGAAGTGAAGGTGGAGGAGAGGCCTTAACTCTCCCTTATCACAATTTAGGAGGTCATCCGTCTCCAGCAGGAATCCTGCGGATTCTGAGATTTGTGGTGTCTAGGAAGCTGTCTGCTAAGCACGCTGATCAATGACTTCCCTCCAACTTTACCAAATGACCACTTCTTCCTCTTCATCCTACTTCAGGTCAGGATACCTCTAGCTTGAGTACAGGAGCATCAGCTTTGAAGACAAGTGCCTGACTTCAAATTCTCTCCTTATAACTCACCGAAAGTGTGACTTTCAGTCAGACATTCACATCTCTGACACTGTTTCCTACTCCTACTTAACAGCAATTAAATGAGGTTATTTTTACACAGTTCTTGAAACAATATCTGCTACTCAATAACATTTGGAAATTATGGCTATTCACCAAAATATCTGAGTTTGAAATTTAGGCAGGTCAGTTAACCTAACCTATCCTAAGATTCCTCTCTGAAAACAAAGAGGGTATGAGAGGGAAACATAGGCTTACATTAAGATGATTATATGTGAATGTGGTTTGTAAATTTTAAAGTGAAATGCAAATTTTAAAGGGATCGTGCAACCCTGTATAGTAGACTCTTGTGTAATAACAATAATCAAACATTAATATAAGTGACAAAGACTGCTCTAAATGCTACATGCACTAACGCATAGTACTGCTTACGTTCCTCTGAACTACCTTGTCTATTATCTCTATTCTATAAGATGGAGGAAATTGAGACAGAGGAAGGTAAAAAACTTATGTAAGGTAAAGCAAATGTTAAAACTAAGGCAGTCATACTCTTTTTACCTTTACTGGATCAATCTCTTCTAATTTATATTTAAATATATATTTCAAAAGTGAAACATATATATTCAAATTGTAAGACAAGCAGATTTCTCTTTGATATGCCTTGGTATGTATATATTAAGCGTAGCTATAGTTAATGCCAGGAAATAAAGCATGTATCCTATAAAGTTTATATATCTTTCTCTCATTGATTCCAGAAATATTGACTAAACTGTAGATGCTATGTCTCCTTATATAAAAACTATAAAACCTAAAAATATATATTTAATTTTAAAAAGATTTCCACAATCATGATTTCCAATCAAGATCATATTTCTCAACCTGCCTTCCACCACAATCACTATAATTAACTATATTCTCAAACATCACATCTGATTCCTTACAATGTGTGTGTTGTGTGTGTGCATATGTGGATATACACTGTGTTTCCATCATCCCAGTGGCATTCAAACTCTTTGTTTACCACCTTTGATTAAAATCCCCTATTAGCTCATTTAATAGCACATCCCTCCATCCAAGGAAGTGGTTTTCACGGACTCATTTTCTTCCCTTTGCCTCTCTGCATGGAATATTCAATGACTCCCAACTGCTGCATAACCAAATTCTATACTCCAATA